TATATATATATATATATATATATACACACACACACACATATATATATTTATATTATATATTATATATATATAATATATAATATAAAACAGTTTATGATATGTATATATATTTCCTCTTTGATATTTCTAATGAGAACTTATTTTTAAAATAAAGCTATTTTTAAGCATTTTTGTTAAGTGTTTTAAGATTCTCATAAATATAACTACCAATATAGTCAAAAATTTAATAAATAAAATGCTAAGTTATATAGACATATAATTTTCTTACATACATTATCCTCAAGATTTATATGTATATAAATACATATGCTCTACTGACGTAATCTAAATTTTCTTGAAATTATGAAGAAAAAGGTAAAATGTACAATAAAAATCCCCGTTATAACTCAATACTTAAAAATTATTTCATTAATGTAAATTTACGACACTTTCCTTTAAATTAAATATACTCTGTAATTAAAGGGATATAATCATTCTTTCACTATATTATAATATACGAAATATATAACTATTACATAATGAAACACAGTTTCGTGCGCCGACTGTTGCATGTTTCAACGTGAAATTCATTATTGGCAGATAATATTAGAAATTCGTCGAAAATACCTTTTGTACATTTAAAAAAAAAAGTATTGCTTATTTAAAATAAACGAAACGGATGTACATGCTGCTTGCTACTGCCTTACTATTGCAGATATTAATTTGTTAAAGTTAATGCATTTCGAACACCCAGTAGAGAATCTTGACGCAGGTCTGCGCCTGTCAACCAACAGTTGACCTGTGTAGTTAACTGTGGTAGTTGACCGATCGCGCGCTAATATACTTTTCTCGTGTTTTCGTATTCTCTCGTGACTTTTACTCGTTATCACGGAAATCGTGAATATATGAGGTGATGAGAGAACGTACAAAAGGGCCAAACTTCGGACCGCCCAGGTGAGATGTCTGGGTCTCTAAAATATCGCGTCGAGACATAATCTAGGGTAAGGGAGTAGCAACCTCTTGGGGCCACAGCTAGTCACGTGACCCTTCTGTTTACCAAAATGGTGTACATCTATGTTTTACAAATAATTTTCATTTCTTTCTAATATTTGTTCCATTTACTTATGATACATTCAATGAAATGGCAGTGGAATTGCAGTAAACTTACTGCTAGCGTTAACATCTCGTAAAAGAGCAATCGTAGCTGATATTACACTTGCACCGCGTTTGGTTGTTACAAACGAGTGTAGCGAAAGTTTGAAAGTAGCTGTACGAAAGTGTCTTCCGCGTCTAATATCTCAGTGGTTTTTACTGATGGACGTAAATTATTCTGAGTTATTGCGAGCATTCCGAGCGCGTTTTCTCACGTTGCGATCACTGCCATATTAGTTACACGACTTTTCGAAAACTCATAAAACTCATTGACCTATTGAATTACTATTTTTTTTTGCGTTCCCATTTTAGATGACTGGACTCCGTATCTTTATGTAATTACCTTGGTAGTAATTTTGACTGTTTTATTTCGTCGTTTAATATCACTGATGTTGTATTTTTGTTTTATTTTTTAAAGGGGGTGACCGAAGTTACACAAGGCCTAATTTCATTACTGACAATGTTGAATGCACAGCGTTGCAGGTACAGCAGCTATGTATTATATGTATTTCTGTTTTGGAGATTTTTATGTTGTAGATGTTAACGCGTTATATTTATAGTGATTACAGATGATCTCTGATGTAGGTTAGTGCAAGCAGAAAGCACTTTCAAATAGGACATCTCAATGTCGGAAGGTGTCCTAGCATAGCGTTTCATGCTCTGGCCAGGCATTTTTAAAGATGGCCACGTATCAAATTGACTATCAGTGGTTAGTCTTACAATTAATATTTATTTTAGAATCAAAATATTATTGAGTAATAAACTAAGTAGTACTTGATTGAAGTTAATACTGGTGTTCAACGGTTATTTACCATTTTAGGGCTTATACCATAATGGATTCATCTAGGATATCCACTTTCCTAATATCAATTTTATTGATAGTCTATGGCAGTTTCCGATCTTTAAACATGGAACAGGAAGCTAGAGAAAGAGAAAAAGAAAAGGAACGTGATAATTTATTGACTGGAATTTTGAGTAACAGTAGCACAGCAAATGCAGATGGTGCTAATGGAAGAGTTCAAACACTAAATACAATGCATGCTCTTTGTCTACCTCTTGGTGCTTCCATTTCTCTACTCGTCATGTTTTTCTTTTTTGATAGCATGCAAATGCTTGTAGCAATCTGTACAGCCAGTAAGTTTCATAGAATGATAGATTTTATGATTATTATTATCATTCATATAAAAAACAGCATTTAATCAAGGACATTTATTTTGCAGTCGTAGCTGCAGTTGCGTTGGCATTTCTTCTTTTGCCCATGTGTCAATATATCATTAGACCATGTTCGGATGGTAATAAAATATCCTTTGGTGTTTGTGGAAGGTTTACTGGTGCAGAATTACTTTCATTTTCATTGAGTGTGAGTATAGTATGCATATGGGTACTGACTGGACATTGGCTACTCATGGACGCAATGGGTATGGGACTTTGTGTAGCATTCATTGCATTTATTCGATTACCTAGTCTAAAGGTATCCACCATACTCTTAACTGGATTACTCATTTATGATGTCTTCTGGGTTTTCTTTTCGTCTTATATATTCAGCACAAACGTAATGGTTAAGGTAAGTTTCAACAAATTTGCGATAAATGGACGTTTGTATTAAAGTGTTTTATGTATTATTATTTACAGGTAGCAACTAGACCAGCAGATAATCCAGTGAATCTTGTGGCTAGAAGGTTGCACTTAGGCGGTGTAGCAAGAGAAGCACC